CCCTTGGGATGGTGTTACGAGCAGGGTGTCAGTCTGGCACCCATGAATGCTGCCATGGCTCTCACTGTACCAAGCCACTACGGTCACCAGCTGCTCCGCAAGCCCTGATGTCACAACAGAGTGTCACCGAGGTCAGATATAGCAGAGATGCTTCTTGGCGAGAAATACGGCGTGTCTGGCATGGCCCCTCACAATACGCAGCCTGTCTTTGCTGTTTTATTCAGGTTTTTGTTTTGAACACACAAAACTCCCTTGCCTCCCTTTATTCCGCCCAAGAATACCCCACACAATGACAGCAGCTCTTCTCTTTTCAGCCCCTTTGCCCCAGCTGAAGTGCAGAGCGTGACATTAGACTGGGCTTTGGTGGCGGCTCTGAATGCCTTTCGTTATCCTCTTGCTGGGGTCGGTTTTGGGAGGAAGGAGGGAAGACAGAGCTATTTTTATAGCATCTAGGCTCTCTCCAGACTGCATCTCACTTGCTATTGTTGGTCAATGATCTTTCAATTACTTGCTACGCTTGGGACTTTGCTCTGTTCTTACAAAGAAAGGGCTGATGCATTCAACACACTCTTCCCAAAGAGCAGGCTGGAACTGGACAATTAGGCTCCACTTGCAAACAAAGCCTTTATTTTTATAAACATCAGAGTTTAAAAGTGCAGTTGGCTTTTTGTTCTGCAGCAAATTTACCATTCTGTGGTGGTCTTCAAACAATATCCATCACTATGGCATGCTGCAGTGGTTTTTCTCCTCCCAAGCAGCACAACTTACATTCTTTTGACGCTTTCCCCCCCTTTTCCCTCCTTACACTTTACACAATACTTTGATTTTCTTTATGAAGCTGGAGGTTATCCCAAATCCACCAGGATTTCAGAGGAGTGGCTTTACAGGCATTCTGGCTGCAGGCTGGGAGCCATACTTTCCAGGTTTGGACCTAATTTTAGTCCCCAGTCTGTACAAGTTGACGTTTGCCCAAACATGCTCTGTTCTCATAGATACCCAACTTGAGGCAATCAGATGCTGGTCTTCAGAGCCTGCACATCTTCCCACTGAAATCAGACGGAGATATGTGGGTCAGGTCTTTCCATAAAGCTCTTTGAAGACTTCACCTGAAAATAGAAAACCTACAAGAAAAAACAGCAGCAAAGCAGATACACTGCAAGTAACCGTGCTCCTGCGATGCTTTTGCTGAGCCTGCATTGATCCAGCAGCCTTTGTGGTGCTGCAGACTTGTACAGTAGGAAATGCTGCTTCTTTTGAAATAGATATAAACCCAAGGTCCTCACATTTGTAATCACTAGAGCTCTTAGAGGGCTCTGCATAGAGACAAGTGATACAACCCACATCCATATGGGGTTGATACCATCTCAACAACCATTGCTAACTGTAACCATCACTAACTGTTCCACTTCCACAACAGCTTTGGAAGGGAGCAGTGTTCTTCCTTTTTTTCTCCTATTTTCTGCAGTTCAATAAAGTTTTATCATCAGTTTCACCTGACCCTAACAACAAAAGATCTAAAGCAGCTGTGCAGATGCAGGGATTTGTCAGCTATTCATCATTACCGTGCCTGCAAATCTATCAGACCTTTGTTCCTGGCAGCACTTCAGTTACTATATTTCATCCCTTATTAAGTGCATTTTCGAAGGACCTTTGCTCATTACGTCTGTATCTAAATGTAGGAAAACAGAGAGGTCAAATTAAACCCTCAGCAAACTTTTGAGTGTAAGCCTAAATGTGCTTAATAATTGGATGTGTGTTGTCAAACACGCTCCCGGCAGGATTTCCAGGTGGGTGGATAGAAAATAGAGGGTTTCTGTGCTTACTCCTGCTGTTCTACACTTGTATCAGCTGGAGAGCTGGTGGAAAAGCTCCTGATTTGCATGAGAGAAGGAGGACTTGTGGCAATGTGGGGTCTGGGACGTGAGCACAGACACCTAAGGAAAACAAGGGTGAGTTTTTCAGGAAGCTTGAATTCTGGAGAGCGGAAAACCACCAAGAAACCAGCCCTTCATATGACCCAGGGAGTGTTTGGAAGGAGGATCACGTGCAGTTGTTAAGTGTAGGGTTGGCTCGCACACCTCCCAGACAGCAAACAAGCATCTCAGGTGAATATACCTTGATCTGACCTGATCCTGCTCAGACTCGCTGGCACTGCAGGGGTGAAGCACTAAGAGGAGCCGTGGGGAAAATGGGGCTTTGTTTCGAGTCATCTTGGCTTGAAGTTGCATTTAAGAAGGGTTTTAGTTCTATGCATGTGAGCTGCTTTTTACAGTAGCAGGGGTTCCTTACTTGCTGTTTTATTCAGCCTGGGAAGGTGAAGAATTCCTCATGGGGGGTGAGAGATTATTTCAGTGGTGGATAATAGGATATCCTCCTTTCTCCTGCTGGTTGTAGAGCAAGGAGGATGTTTTGAGTAGACAGCAAGGAGGATGTTTTGGATAGACAGCAAGGACACACTGCTGGTGCCAGCTTGCCCCATGCCATCCGGATATAAGCAGGGCAGCTGGAAGGATATTCAACACAGTCACAGACTCATAGAATACTTCAGGTTGGAAAGGACCTTAGGATCATCTGGCAGATCTGTGGATTTGGGAATGTGGGCAGAGGTTGCAGTGGGTGGAATCAGCAGGTTGGGTGAGGAACATTAAAACTGGCAATGCTGGGTTATGAGCTAATTGGATATAGCTGCTTCCAGACCCTTGGGAAGGGTGTTATTTTTAGAATTAGAGGCTACTGTGAAGCAGCACATCCCAACAGAAGGTAAAAAACACGTATAATGCAGCCTGATGGCTATGGCTTCAAGTGGTTTTTGACCCCAGATATTGCCATATCTTGGTCCATTTTGCATGGCACAGATAAAGAGACCAAGCAACCAGCTTCCCAGAGCAGCTCCATCGTTTACACGCTCAGTGATATCCAGCTCAGCCGTGACTCAGCCATCAGCAATGATGTTCTGACCTTATTAATACCAATGGGAGTCTTCTTAACGAGGACATAATTTCACCCCAGAGGCCAATTTGTTAATTAGCATCTCTGGCTATCCTGTCATTGCCCATATGAAGAGGGTAGTAACTTGACTTGTATACTGAGCAAATATGTGCTGAGTAAATACGCACTCAATTGCATGTACAACGATGGGCCATAAAAGTCTGGCAGGAAGAGTGAACAGGAGTGAGTGTAGCTCCTCACTCCAAAAAGGATTCAGAGCTGGTGGTACTTCCTCTTGTCTGAAATCCATGCCTAAGGAAATGCTTCCTTGGTTAGTTGTTGATCTCAAGAGTGCTGCTCTGATGACACTGCATCTTTAGTTGTGATACCCAGGACTAGTCCATCCCTCAGTGCAATCCCCTCGCTATGTATGGTTTGCAAAACAGCATTGTCCTGTTGTGCCTCTTGCCAGGAAAGGGTGTTCTAACAATTGGAGTACATCTATTATGAAATATTTCTGTTTTCTAAAACAAAAATAGCCTGGCCTGCACTCTGGGCTAACCCTAACTCCTCCCCTTCCAAAGCGTATTGTCAGGTCAGGCAGTTTCCTGCTAATAAAAGAAGCAAAGTGTTTTTGAACATTCTTTGCACGTTAAAATTGAACAGATTCAGCTTAATTTCACAGTAATGATCTCCCACAGTTAATGTTTCATGCAGACATCGACAGGGCACAGTGTGCTCACTAACAAGGTCAGGGTAAGATTTCTTCTATTGCGCAACACGCGCGGATGTTAGTCTTCTCTCAAGTATTCGAGGTTGGCCACAGCAGCTGATGAATACTCTATTAGCTTGCCTGTTGGCTTGCCACGGTGTGAGAACTCTCCCTTCCTGCTGGATGAGCTTTCAAAACTCCGTATTTAAGAGAGTTAAAGTTTGCTTGATAAAAAACACCCATCAACCACTGCACAGCTCTGATTGTGTTAAACTGAAACAGGGGAAGTTCAGGTTGGAGATAAGGCAGAAGCTCTTCCCTGTGAGGGTGCTGAGGCGCTGGCACAGGGTGCCCAGAGAAGCTGTGGCTGCCCCATCCCTGGCAGTGCCCAAGGCCAGGTTGGACACAGGGGCTTGGAGCAAGCTGCTCCAGTGGAAGGGGTCCCTGCTCGTGGCAGGGGTTGGAGCTGGAGGAGCTTTAAGGTCCCTTCCAAAGCAAACCACTCGGATTCTATTTTAGTTATTTGGTAGTAAACCTGGCCCCACTCCAGCCCCTCAATGTCTCTCTTGGAGTGAGGGGCCCAGAGCTGAGCACAAGATTCGAGGTTCAGCCTCACCAGTGCCCAGTACAGGGACACAATCCCTGCCCTGGCCCTGCTGCCGCACTGGTGCTGATCCAGGCCAGAATGCTGCGGGCTTCTTGGCTGCCTGAGCACAAGCTGCTCATGTTCAGCTCCATCAATCTAAGTCCTTTACCATGAGCAGTTTCCAGCCCCCTTTCCTCACGCCTGGAGCATTGCACAGGGCTGTTGCGTCCCAAGTGCAGGCTGCTGTTTGCCTTGTTGCACCTCATACAGCTGACCTCGCCCCATGGATCCAGCCTGCCCACATCCCGCTGCAGGGCCTCCCTGTCCTTCAGCACTCCCGCCTTAGTTAGAGTCATCCCCAAACCCACTCAGGGTGCACTCGATCCCCTCATCCACACCATCAATAAAGCCATTAAACACCACTGTAGCTAACCCCGAGCCCTGAGGGCCACCACCACCGACCGCTCACCACCGCCAGGGCCAGTCCTAGGGGGTGCCCAAGGACGCGGGAACACCCCCGGCGCAGTGGGGGGAGCCCCCATCTCTATGCCCCTCCACCGCAGACCTGCCCTGGGGCCGCTCTCTCCACCCCACTCGCTGGTTGTGACAGCGGGGGCGAACGGCAACCCCGCCGCCAGCCGCCTGCGTGCGAGTGACGTCATCGGCCGCGGCCCGGCGGCGCCGCCTGGCTGCTGCACGCTGCTGCACGCTCCTCCCGCCGCGGCCCGTCCCCCCTCCCCTTATCGGCCACCGTAGCGCGGCGGGGCCCCCCTCGCCGGCCACCGTCCCGGGAGGCTCCGCGGCGGATGCTCCGCGTTGTCCCGCCGCCCCCCGCCCGCCCCTTCCCGAGCCGGCGGCGGGGGCAGCAGATGGCGCGGCGGGGCCCGGGCTGGCGGCGCGGGAGGCGGCCGCCGCCGCGGCTGCTGGCGCTGCTGCTGTTGGTGGTGATGCCGGCGCTGCCGGGCTTGGGGCCCGCTGCTGCCGCCGCCGCTGCCGTCGCTGAGGAGGTGGCGGCGGCGGCGAAGGAATGCGACAAGCCGTGCGCCAACGGCGGGCGGTGCCAGCCGGCCAGCGGGCAGTGCGAGTGCCAGCCCGGCTGGGTGGGCGACCAGTGCCAGCACTGCGGGGGACGCTTCAGGTGAGGGGCCTGGAGGCGGTGGGGACGCGGCTGTGGGGCGCGGGGATGTGTGGGGCCAGTATGGGGCGTCCGACGGAAGGGAGCAGGGGGGCACTGGGGGGGGCGGGTGTTAGGGGCTGGGTAGGAGGAGCAGGGGATTGGGGGCCCTGGTTCCAGCTGCCCCGAGGGACACTTAGGGGGAAAGGGGAGGTGGATTTGGGGTCCACGCGCCACCCCTTGTCCTGCTTGAGCCCCTCCTGTGAGGGCAGCGGGGCCGTGGGTATGAGGGCAACCCGCCGTGAGGATGAAGATGCAGATGGGAGCGCATGGAGGGGACAGCAGCGGTGCAAACGTCCCTGTTTGAGGCTGCCAAGGGGCAAGTCTGAGTGCAAAGAGGGGCGCGGGTGTGCGGGGCTGATCCGGGGATTAGGGGTGTAAAGCGTTGAGGAGGAGACAACAGGGATTTGGGTATGGAATGGGAGCATGTGGCTGTGAGGGGGCAGGTTTGAGGGGTGACAGAGGGTGATGGGAGCATGAGAGTGATGGGCTGGGAGTGCCCAAGGTCGGGTCTGGGGTGGGCAGGGGATGGGGCTGCATGGGGCAGGTCTAGGAGCAATGGGATGCGGGTGTCACTGGTGAGTACAGGGTGTTTGCACCCGAAAGAGGTATTTCCGAGGGGACAGTTTGGGGTGCTGGGGTTGCAGAGAGGTAACAGGGAGCAGCTGGGGGTTCAAGGGGCTGTGGTTGTGTTGGAGAAGGGGTGTGGGTGTAAGGCATGGGGTGGGTGGGGATCTGGGTGTGATGGACTGTGCAGGGCTGAGCCTGGAGATGATGGGCTCCGATTGCAAGTAACTGGGTTTGTGTTGCAGTAGGTCTGGAGAGAATATAGGAGAGGAGGGGATGAGGTAAGGGGATGTATTTGAGGCAGCAGGGTTAGGTTTGGGGAGTGGATGAAGGGATAAGGATCCCTGGCAGTGCTCAAGGCCAGGTTGGACACAGGGGCTTGGAGCAAGCTGCTCCAGTGGAAGGGGTCCCTGCCCGTGGCAGGGGTTGAAGCTGGAGGAGCTTTAAGTTCTCTTCCAACCCAAACCATCCTATGGGTGAGAACTGGTTTTGTGCATGGAGATGGATGCAGATGGGAGCAGTGAGGAGTGGGTGCTCTCAGTGGAGGACAGTGTGGGTGTAGGGCCAGATAAGGGAGAAGGATGTGGGGATGGGAGCTGGATCTGTCAGGGAGCAGTTGAGGTGGGAGAGGAAGGGCATACAAGCAGGTGCTATGGCTGGGTGTAGGCAATAAGGAGTGTTAGGGGGGTTTAAGCAAGCTCATCTTTGCAGACAGCTTAAGTAGGTGTTGGTTTTGGGTAAGGGCAACTTTGGGAAAGGTAGATGTGGGGAGAGAAGCAGCATCTTAAAGAGGACATAGGGCGTGTGGGGAGAGGAGTGCGTGCTGGCTCCTGGACAGGGACATTGGGAATAACAGGTTGGTGGAAGGAAAGTCCCTGGTTTGCTGGAGGACGAGGCCAGAGCTGGGCAGCTGGAGGGGATCAAACAGGACAAGGGTGATGTGAGGCCCCTTTGCACTGGAGAAAGGGGATTTCTGGGCTCTCTGATCCTGGAAAGCTCCTTGCTTGCAGTGTCAAGGCCAGTTTAGGTGGTGATGGGATGCTTGGTTGGGTTGTGTGCCTGAAGCCTCTCCCATAGGATGAGACACTGGAAATGCTCATGGGAACAGGCTGTGGAAATGCCCTGAAAGCTCAGGTTTTCAGTGGAAGGGGTTTCTGTAAGGTGGTTACTTGCTTTGGTTTTATCAGCTGTGGCAGCCGGAGAGCCAGTGTGTTTGTGTGCATTAGGTGAATTCCCTGTGCAGGGCTGGTTCTTGGCAAAGAAGGAAATGGAAAAAGGCTGAGTGTTCTAGGTAGTGATTGCTTTCTTAGGGACCTTCTTATGGAAAGTACCAGCCACCCTTCAGCAATGCTCCCTGCACATCTGGGGGAATGAATGCTGCCTGTATAAGCCGAATTCCTGGAGGAAAACCACTTTGTGTGCTTTAGGAGTTGAGGTTTCTATTTACTTATCAGTATTTATTTGACAGGCTGTAGATTTGTGTGTGAGCAGCTAATTTGAGAGGGGTTCTGTGTGGAAATGATGCCAGGCTAAGCAAGCCCTGGAAGTCGAATGTGTTTTAATGTGTTTTTTGTCACTGTCATGGTAAGAATTTGCTTCTAGTTGATGGAGAGCATTGTGAAACAGCCACTTACCTGTTACATTCCTCAAGTGGTTTAGGCTGTTGGGCATTTAAAAGAGACTAGATTTGAATATAGGCAGAGATTGCTTGTCTGAATGGTAAAACCGGTGCTGCTGAGTAAAAGAATTGGTGTATATGTATTGCTAAAGGCCTTTTCTTTCTAGCTTCGTATCTATTGTTCTAAGGCTTCTTGTTTGTTTGTCACATATAATAATGGTCTAAAATGGTAACTGAAAACATAATGCATGTTTTTCTCTCTAGGGGTTTTACTTAGCTGTTTATTTATTTATTAGGGAGCTGTTTTTAAACTTGGAGCTGCCAGAAGTGCAAACAAGTGTGCTTAACAATGTTCAGAGCTCTGCAGCCACAACTTTCACACGAGTTTATTCTGTTTCTTGTCAAAATAGCACTGGAGGGTTGTTCTTTTGGTGCTTGGTTATAAAGAGCTTGGCTTTAAGTGTTATTAGATGCAAATGGGAAGTAGAAGGGCAGGTGAAAATTGTTTAGGAAGTGTGGTATGTTCCACATGCCTATCTGCTTGCCTGAGAGATGTAATTAAGTTATGGCATGGTAATCTTCCTGTCCTGATCTAGATGTGTATGATGACTCAATTTGTGGCCTTGACTTTCTTTACGTTGAGCACTGAGGTTGTGATGGTACAGCTTGTGCTTCCCTGACCTACTAATCCTGCACCTCTTCCAGTGTTAACAGTGAAGAATGAGCATCGTAGCTCTGTGTCTCCACTAACATCATTGTATCTCCACTGATGTTCTACTTGCCTTCTCCATTGGGAAAGTCTATTTATTTAGACTGCAGTCAGAGATATAGGTAACAAACCTGGGGTGGGCCGTTTTCTTCCTTGGCTCATCCCAACTACAAAAGGGAGATCGTGTGTTCTTCTTATGTGGATAAGTAAGGTGTTTTTAAGCTCATGTGGTGTGCTGAGACTTCTTACAAAGGAAAGGGCAGAGCAGAAGTGTACCTGCACGTGATCATTCTTGGTGGTAGGAATGGCTTCTGAGAAAGCATTGACCTCTGCACAGATCAGTGATGCTCTTGAGAGGGTGGAAGATTGTGTTAGGAAAGACTCGAGGTGATTTTCTTGTGTTTAAGGTGTGCAACCAGCCACCTGAGCTCTTTAAAGGTGAAGATCTTGGTTTTAAAGGAAGCTGAAGTAGAAAACAGGGGACGTGCCTGATGCGCTTGTGTTTCCTATTTCTGCACAAACCTCCAGCAGGCTTCTGTGCAGGCTGGAGTCTGCTGCAGGTCAGTGGCTTCAAGCTGGAAGAGGAGAGGACTGCTGCTGCGAGGCTGTCTGCTGGGAGGGGTGAGAAATCTCCCAGCCACAGAGCTGCAGCAGCACACTGGAGATAACGTTTCCAAGCAGCGAGAGCTCAGGAGCACCAGAGTGGAGAGTGGGCTTGCCAGCGTTGGGTGTTGTGCAGTCAAAAAGGGTGCTGCAAGCCTGCAGACCACAGGCTCTTCGGAGTGCTTTCTGTAGCTCAGTGACACAACCTCTTGTTCTGCTTGAATTGAATTCTTTCAGCCAGCTGCCTCATCTGCAGGCAGACAAAGGCTATTGGGGGAGGTAAAGCACAGCTGAAGAAGTGACCACTATTTTACAGATTTACTGGCCAGAGATTGTATTCACAAATGCAGGCTAGTGCTTGGCTTCTGGACCATTAATTGTGTGTGGATTGGGTATTTAGGCATAGAAATGGCAATTTGATATATGACTGTAGCTGAAAACATGTTCAAGGCCTGCTTGGATGGGGCTTGGAGCAACCTGGTCTAGTGGAAGGTGTCCCTGCCCATGGCAAGGGGTTGGAACTGGGTGAGCTTTATGATCCCTTCCAACCCATTCTATGATTCTATGATAATAAACCACAAATGATTCCAGAGAGCTGTTTCTTGTGTGTAACAGCACTCCTTCTCCTTTCATGGTAATACTTTTGTGAGTGTTTTTTGAGGTGGGAGCTAGAAAATGCAAAGCAGTGCTTAAAATGCAACGTGACAGTTGGAAGGGGAGGAAAAAAAAAGATGAGTGTGTCTTTTCAACTATCTTTTTATTAATTTAATGGAGGCAGTTATGGGCTGCTGATTGAACATTAGTAAAGAGTTGGTGGTAATAAAGTGTCCTTGGCCAAAGAATATTACAGTGAAGAGGAATTTTATCTCTGGAAGATTTGGGTAAATCAGAACTTGAGAGAGTTGCTGGCAAGAAGCTGTCGCAGTTCTTCAGTAAATGGGAGCTTTTGGTCCAAGGGTGGTATATACAAACCCCTTGTCTTTGCAAAGCTACATGAGGCAGTTTCAGGCTTTAGGGAAGCCAGGAAGCTACAGAATATATCCTAAGGATGTTGGCAGTTTGAACGAAAACGGTTTAGATGCTCAAATTAGATTTGAGTGCTGCGTTTGTGCCTGATGCCCCATTCTATTTCTCTTTTCATTAGCACTTTATCATGCTTTAAAATGATTTTTCTCTTCCATGTTGCTGTGTAAAGGGCTCACTCAAATGTTGTGCACTGGTACTAAAATAATAAGCCATTCAAGTAGGAAATACTTAGGCATTATCAATTTAAAACAATACATTGGGTGGGGAAAAAAGGAACCTTTTATGTGCTTTCATTTAGTTCTTGGAAGCATTGATTCCAGCTCTGGATTTATAATCTTGCTAGGTGTGTGCTTTTATATCTGTCTGACATCGCTGTTTCTAGATATCTATATATGTATTTAAATGGCCTGTTCATTGAGAGAGAAACTCATGGCTAATATT